TGATCTGCCTTACCCGGGAAGAGCGCACTGATGGTGCCAACTTGGGCCAGTGAAGCAATGTCCTCCACAACTAGACTAAAGAACAAAACGACAGCAACTTGTCTGTTCCCCTTCTCCAATTCCCCAGCGCTGTTCCCATACCCCCAATTCCCCAATAAAAATAAATAAATAAATAAATAAAGTTCATCTCCCTTTCATCTTATAGATTAATTTCACCAACTTCTGTGCAGCTAATTAATAATTTAAGATAAAATGTAGTTATATCTTGGGATTACTGAATATTTTCTTTTCAGTTTGTTTTACTGCACTCAGTTTAACATGCATACATTTTTTAAGCAGCTCTAGTAGATGATATCTAAGGTAAAAATAAATAATCTTAGATAAATAAACTGTTAGATTATAATACTGTTCATAATTGCCTGTTACTTGAGAGTAATAATGTAAATAAATACAAATATATTCTAAAATAATAATTCTAACAGCTTAAACAGAATATATTTTTAAATCACTCTGCTTAAATTGATAATATATTGCTATCAAAAAGATTTCATGCTTCTTCAAAGCTCACCTATATTTTATTAATCATAAATAAGAAAAAAGGTGTGCTTTTCTTAGTATGAATATTGTCACTGTGTGTGTGGAAAATTTAAAGGAAATGAGATATTTTATCAAGGGTATAGGTTTATTTATATAATAAAGTGTGTCTGCCAGAAGTTGAGTTTTTCAGTTCTCCCCAGCTCCTCTGTTAGTAGCTAGATGAAGAAATTACAGTGGTTGCTTACATAAGAAAATACTGAAAGAGAGCCATGTTAAATCCTGTGATAAATTAATTGGTGGTCAAGAAAAATAAAGTTCAGTATGCTTCAACTGTTTCTCTTCATGTTGCTTCCTTCTGATTGCCTTTCTTCTATACAAGGTGAAAGGATGTATTTAAATAAGTTCTGTTGTAATTTACTTAAACAATTTTTATGGCCTTCAATTGTAAATTCATGTTTCAAAATTTAAGAAAACTTTTATATAAATATATATATGTGTGTGTGTGTGTGTATAAATTTCTTACATAAGAAATAAAAATTCTTTAATCCTACCATCCAATAATAGCTATTTTTGTGGTATGTTTTCTATGTGATTATCTATAATACTCTTTTTATTATATGTTAAATTTATCAATTCATAAATAGTGATCTATCTTACAGAAATGAAAGTGACCCATGGATAATTATCTTCTAATAGCTATATAGTCTTTATTTAATTTTCTAATTGTATGTTGTAGAAATTTATCATAAGCTATCATTTATTTTCTTCCTACTATTGCACCAAATAAGATATTTAATTCTTAATTATGTGCACCTAAGTCTACTGGAAACTTATAATTTACTCTCCATATTTGAATATGACAACAAGTGCATACATATTAAGTAATTAAAATAACATATTTGTTGTTTTAAAAATGCCTGCAAAGAAGTAACAGCAATTTTCATTAGAACGCTCTGCTTTTTTTTGTATTGCTTTTTTTTTTATTTCCAAAAATACTATTCCTGATTTAGAGTTCATTTGTGTTGCTTTGATTAGACTATTGGCTAATAAACCTGTTTGGCAATTTCATTTGTCTTTATTTAAATTTTCTAAATCTTAGAACTCTGACCAATTAGCTAGACTAGAGTTTTATCAATCCTTTCCAACTCCTATCCTCACCATGGAAGCCCTTGAAAATGAAAATGTGAGCGGAAGCATAATAGAAGTATCTGCTATCCCTTCTTTCCCACTCTCATTAGTGCATGGTCCCTAATTCTTACACAAACATTTATATACCTACAGGTTTATAACAGAACTTACTTTTCTGATACATATGACTCCAACCTATCTCAGAAGTAGGTAAACTTTTCTAAACAACCCTTCAATGATAATAAACATTTTTGCTTCCTTTACCTAGTACTATTTCTCTCTGTTCTTTCCCCCACCCCGGTATGAGTCTAAATAAACACAGCTTATTACATCTCACTTTAATTTAGAAAATGCAGCCATGTTTTCATTTACTATTTTTCAAACAATTAACATCTTACCTCAAATCACATCTTTCTGAAATATCTAAGCTCCATTTCATTTTTGTCTGAGTAGCAGTGCTAGAAATTGTGATAGGAAAGTTAAACAGTATGAGGCATTAATAGTGCATGAAGTATTCATTTTCTGTATTTCAATAAGTCAAAATAAATTATGTTTACCTAAATTATGTATTTACTTTGTTAAACAACTCTGATAACTTGCAAATCTCAGTCAGCGTTTAGGGAAATAAATTGGGATGGGGAAAGGAAGGAAGAGGAAATGGGGAGGGAAAGGCAGAAGAAAGGAAGGGGAGAGTGAGTTTGTGCAATTTCAGTTCTTGGTAGTGAGGTTCTTGATGACCACTGTCCCTTCCTGGAAAAACATGAATTAAATCAAGGTTTTTATCATTAAGATAACTTATTAAGAATTTAAAACAATAAAACAAAAATTATTTTTTAAAGCAAATTAAGGCAAAAAGAGAGTCTAGTGGAATCACATAAACTTCTGTGGAAACGTCCTCAACTTCAACTTTCTGAACAGTATTGGTCTCATTGAAAACGGGTGGTAATGGTAGTAAAAATCCCAAGATGAGACCTGACCAGTGAGTACATCACTCTCAGCTGTGCCAGACACTCAGTAGACACATTACAGAATAATTAAGTTCAAGATCCCTTTTATTTTAAGTGATACATTTAGGACTGAGAAGAGAAGGCTCCAGCCAGAAACCCAGTCAAAAAGAGTAGACTTATTTTAGTATATTTGCATTTTAGATATGAAATTCCTAACTTCCTTTATGCGTTACTTCCCTTACTGAGTTATAAAATGATTGAATTAGTGTCACATCTTTTAAAGTAAAGATTCCTAAATGTGCAGATTCCAGGAGGAGAGAATTAAGGGAAAAAAAATTAAAAACAAACTAAATGTAATGCACTGGTGTTATTTATTGAAAATGTTTGGGATTTTAAATGTAAATGCTCAGGAACAAGAGTGAAAAATCCTATCAATTTAGTTTTAAGTAAATAAGAACAACAAAAACAAAAACAGCTAACCAGAAACATAGCATAAACACTTGGTCTTGTATTTAAGCAAATCGTGTCTCTCTGGGATTTATCTGTGGTTCTGACTCAATGGTTCCTATATTGAAAGAAAAAGTGGCAAAGGAGGGGTACTTATGACCTTAAAATTACAGCTTCGAATATTTAACCTGATACGCAAAGCAGCAAGAGAGCAAAGTGTGCACAGAGAATCATGAATTGTATAGTAATTAAATCTTAATAACTAGGAAATATTAGTATGGAAGTACATGATCCACCAACAATGTGTTTTTGTTTTTTGTTTATTTTCAATTTGCAGGAAAAAGTCCAGCATTTACAGAAGGCTTTTGCTTCAAGAGTAGATAAATCCACACAGACTGAACTCCTAGGCTATGATGTAAGTAGCTTTATAAAACCATGTTTATCTTCTTTGTTGGTATTCAGACCTCCACAGCTTATTTACCTCTGCTGCTACTGTGTCCATGCATTGATTTAATAGAATTTAGTGGTGCCCCATTCATCTTTTGCTCTTAAGTAATCCCCAAGTACCTTTGAAACTGAAAAAAGATAATTACAGGCACTGACTAGCATACCAATTTCTTATTTTTTTTTTAAATCAACATCTCCAATGCAGTCTTTTGAATTAGTGAATTTGTAGACACATGGGTGATACATATTAGAATACTGGAACAATTTATTTTAAGAAAGTACTAATTTATTTATTAACAGTTTAATAAAGATTGCAGTCACCAAAGCTAAGCACATCATTTTTACATTCTGGCACATAAAAGGAAACACAACTTAGCAAAAAAATTTACAATAATATTTTAGCTCTTGGACTTTAGGGCAGGCTGCAGAAAGTAATTTAATTGAAAATTAGCATTTTTCCTTAGGGCAAAACACTTGATGAACTGTCAAAATAAGATTGTAATACATGTTTGAATACAAGATTGCTTCTAGTAACACTGAATGACTTCCGAAGACTTTGACTCAAATACCCATCTTTTCTTAAACACAGCTATGAAATTTTTGTTTTGACTAAGTTCATGACTTCAAACTTCCTTTAGATGAAAAAATAGAGGAAGTATCTTCTTTATTTTGTATGTGACATTTGTGAGAACTCTCTCTTCTTTTTAAAAACATTTATTAACATAATTTTTAGCACTTTATTGACAAGCATAAGTAGAAAAGATATAATTTTAAGTTGTTTTATGAAGATGCATGATGATAAAATGTATGTTTGTTTGAATGTTGTCATATTAAATAACACAAATATGGATTTTACTTTTGTGTTGCCTTGCAAAGTATAGTAATATATTTAATATAAATCTATTTGTCTCTATTAGGAAATAAACCATCACTTCTCAGCATTTTGGCTAAGAAAAAGTATAGGAAATAAACCAAAGTTTTGAATTGCAGCGTAAATTGTTTTCAGATATTTATACAGCGTTTTTCAATGTATATCATTTTTCAGTGATCTCTGTGGAAGCCTAATCTTTTATTAAAAGTAATGTATTCTTCAAACTAAATGGGAAAACACTTAATGCATTTGGACTCAAATATTCAATGTTGCCCAATATAAGGAAATGACATTTGATAGACTGAATTCTAAATATCTAAATGACTGAATATAATGATAGAATGTAAGAGATCTGTTATACTGTTAGGACTGCTTGTGAGAAATACTTGCTAAGAAATGAGTGGTACCTGTTGTGGGGGGATACCTGAGCTGTAGCTGCTAGAAGCCTCTTATATATTTGTCTATCTATGTCTCATCATTTTCTTGTTTCTACAGAAGTGTCTTATATCAGTGCTATTTAGTTTTCTAAACATGTAAATAAAAATTAAAAATGAAGCCATGAACATAACTAATCCTTGTTATAAAATCCCCATTATTCCAGCTTATTTTCATATTTGACATTGAGAGTTTAATGTGTTTTCCTGGATTGAATTAAGGTGAAAGAGTAATAATTTCTTGGAAGTGAATCCTTAAAGAATCCCTTTATACAAGTGTCTGTTATGATTTTGGTAATAATGCTTTCTAAAGATTTCACATTTCACCTTTCTTGGTGAGATATATTCTAGGACATGATCACCCAAAACAGCAAATTAATTACCATAGATAGGCATTCAGAACCTTATACCAGTAACTAGATATAACTGTAGTATAAGATTTAGAGAATTTTGTATGGAAAAACCTGGGGAGATAAATACTTTCAATAAACAAATTAGAAACAAGTAAGCATTTTAAGTGTGATGAATTATGTCACTGTTTGGAATATGACTCATCAATAGTGTAATTTTTCTATAATTGGGATATCTTTTCTATGCTTTTCAATATCCATGTAATCTAAATTACTTTTCAGATTTTCATATGCAATAAGAATCATTTATCTTTTAATTTTCAATATTTTGCTCACAGTTTTCTCAGGAAGTATAGTTTGACAGTATTTTAATTTTTTACAGATATGCCCACATCAACTACTATATTTATAATGTGCAATATTTGTCATAAAAAATAATGAAAAATCTTGTAGGAATCTTGCACATTATGGATGATTCTTATACTCTCTCACTTTCTTCCTAAAGCTGTCAAATATTAGCCACAAAATATTCTTTATGGATCTTTATGAATCGTGTTTGAGTTATATGAATATCAGAATATAAGAGAGGACAAGTACCCATTACTATAATTTACTTGGGAACCTGGCTGTTGCTACACATTTTGCGTAAGATAGGAAATAAAATCCCCATAAGACATTAATTACAATGAAAACTATTCAAAAGAAATTTCCAAAATCCACTACAATGAATAAGTTCAAAGGTTTGTACCATTAACTACTCTATCCTGCAACAGATTTACCAGGAGACAGGAAACTAATGTTAATGTACAGTGTGTCCTGATTTGTAATGCACATGGCAAAAAATAAATCCAGAGTGTCTCAGCAAAGGCCAGTAGTAAACACAATAGTTCTACTGATGAAGGAGATTGTTAAATAAATGATAGATGTGTCTTAAATAATCAATGCCAATTTAACCTCTTTCACCTGCCTCTGCCTGCACAGGTTTAGTTTATTGAAAGATCAAAGAATAATTTCTGAGGTGTCACTTATGTTATTAAAACAGGGTAGGGGATGAATAGATGCAGTCAAGTAGCAATATTGCCGATTGTTAGATTGCCTTAAAAGGTAGAGAAGATTTTTCTGATTACATCAACTATACACATAGACGGGTCAACATAGCACATATGCTGCCTTTAAATGTTTTATAGTTTGAACAACTGCAAATAACATTTTGGTTAACATGATGGAGAATGAATAGCCAAAATGCTGCAGTGAAGATTTTATATCCTAACACTGAGAAAATCAAGGTACTTTTATTAATTAAACATCTTCACTGATTGCTTTTTTTTTAACTTCCTTTTGATGCTCTATAAAAGATTGTCTTTTTAAACGTGGCTGATTGACTTTAAGTGTAAATTTTCTTTTCAGTTAGTGCCTGAACTTGACTCAGAGCAGTCACAGGGTCTCTAAGTTGCTCTTTTAGACAAGCATACTAAAGATTTAAAAAGGTTCTTCTTTTCATTAGAGTATGCTTTACACTTATAGTTAATAAGAAGTATTTATTTGTCTTGAACTTGCAATGGTTTGTTCATATATTCTTTGAGTTTTGAAGTTATTGAGTATTTTGTCAAATATTAAATCATTTTTAATGACTGTTAATGATTTATGAAAACCACTGGTGCTTCTCATTTGCCTATTTAAAGTTGACTTCTCTAAAGAATCACACACCTTTTATCTCAGTCACATATGAGTGAAGCATAAATCAGTTTGGAAACATATGCTCATACCACCGTGTTTTTCAAATATTTTAGCACATTTTCCAAATGGTGGGATTTACTTTATAAGTGCAGTTTTCTACTTATATGCTAAGAAAAGAATAATAGCTGTATTATGAACACACATTTTGAAAAACTCCTCAATGCAGTGATCTGTATATTCTCAAATCTATGTTGCTTTCCTTAGGTTTAATTTCAGAGGTCCTCTTGGCACAATTAGTAATGTGCAGGGAGTTGTAGCAAATATGAAAATAGCTTGTCATGTAAGTAATAAGAATGATTAGTTATTACTATAATCATTTTATTAGCTATTAAACAAAGAAAGAGAGTATTTTCAGTTATGCTAATATATTATGTCAGCCTATGGAGTAAGCCCAATTCTAAGATTTAAATAACTATCAAGTAGGCTCTCTCATCCACCTGTACTAAACTATAATTTGTTAAAGCTTTCTATTTGGGATCCATTCATTGCTAATCATCTTGTTAAAATTCAGTACCTCTTTTCATCATGCATTGCCATGCCCAGAATTTAGTAGATAAGTGTGTCCTCACATGCTTTATTTGTATTTACTTATCTCAGGTGCTTCTATTTATTTTTATAAATTAAAAAAGTCAAGATTAAAAAGTGAACATATGATATGTTGCAGGTTTTCTTTTGACTACAATTTTTCATTTACATTAAAGATAAGTTGCACACAAGAATATTGATTAAAAACAGTTACAGGAAACGTGATCATTTGCCACAAGTGCTTATTAACATTTAATAGAGGAGTCACAGCTTACCCAGTGGAGAAGTTCTAAAGATATCACTTTTGAAAATCCCTACACACATTTCTTCAACAAATATTACTAAGTGCCTCTGAAAGCCAGACTTTGTTCCAGTCATTTGGGTATACATCTTTTAACCAAACAACAAATATTTCTTTATGGAACTTTCATTTTGTGAGGGGAAACTTACAATAAATATAATAAGTAAATTATGTAGTACAGTAGGAGGTGCTAAGTACAATGTGAAAAAAAAAAGAAAGGATAGCACTGGGAGAGGATAATTGTGAGTGTAGTGGTGGGTGTCAAGGCGATGATCAGAACTTTTAAACAAGCTGATCTGGCGTGGTCTGAGGGTGAGATGTGAGATGTGAGACTTGAAAGAGGGGAGATGAAAATCACTTTTACTCAGAAAGACTTTTGAGGTATGTGCTTCAGGAAAGCCCCTTGAAGACCTTCAGTCAGTAAGAACAAATTGCTTTAACTTGCTGCAGCCCTAAGTAAGAATGGTTGGCTTCACATTGAGGCCACGCAGTATGGAAAAAATGCATTCTGTACTATTAAACCTCAGAATCACACCCAAGTCATTCAGAGACTTCACATCAGGGGAATAGAGAGTACCTGAGGGCACAGCCAAAGCTGGATTCTCAGAGCATATTCACTAAGCATAAGCACTGGGAAGAGAGCTGGGGTGAATCATCCATGCTATATAAATTACATATGCTTTTTCCTTTTTTTTTTTTTTTCCTCTCTCTACCCTCTCCTTCTCTCTCTGTGTCTTGCCCTTCCTCCAG